ACAGAAAAATTCCTCAAGGAAAAATGACAGAAGACAAACTGACAGTCTGAATAGCCCTGCATTTATTAAAGAATCTGAACCTGTAATCAAAACTCCCCAAAAAGAGCGTCCTGCCCCAGATGGCTTCACTCCGAAGTCCTCTCACACATTCCAGGAGGGAGTGTTACCAAGCTCACTGCTTACACGAGTGCTCCAGAAGACAGAGAAGGAGGGAGTACTCCCCTCCACGCAAACCACTGACACCAAAGCCCAGGCAAGAACTGAAAGAACACAAATTCACTCAGCAAAAGCAGCTTGGCGTTTTTAGCAGTCTCACACAGCTGAAGAGACAAACGCCCAGCTCTCACAGGGACCCATCGTAGGACCATCATGGGGACCCTGGGCAAACCCCCAGAGCACTACACAGTGAGAGTAACCCAAGCCTCCACACAGGGCAACACATCAATGCTCAGACAGAAATCAAGGGAGTGTCTAAGAAGCAGGAGGTAATGCGGGACATGGGAAATACCTAGGTGTGAGTCCAGCCAAATATCTACACCATCAACTGTTGTCACACAGTGGGGCCGGTGCTGTGGTGTAGTGAGTAAAGCTGCCACCTGTGACACCAACATCCCATATTGGCACTGATTCAAATCCTAGATGTTCCACTTTGGATCAAGTTCCTTACTAATGGGTCTGGGAAAAGCAGTGGAGAGATGGTTCAAGTGCTCAGGCCCCTGCTAAAACCATGGGAGACCTGTTGAAGCTCCTGGCTCCTGGCTTGGCCTGGCCCAGCACTGGCTATTGTGGGCATATGGGGAATGAACCAGCAGATGGAATATCTCTCTCTGTCTTTGTCTCTCCCTCTCTCTATATAACTCAGACCTTCATAATAAATAAATAAATCTTAAAATGGTTGTGAGACAGTGGGTGCCAAGCACAGTACAAGGCTCTGGAGATCTGAGATGCACAGATCTAAGTAACTTCCTTATTACTAGGGAGTTACAGCAAAAAGGATTCAATGTTCAAATGGACACAGGAGCTGAAGACAAAGATGGAGACAGGGCTGACACTAAAGGAAACAGCTCTGGACTGGTAGGAGAAGTCCTGAGCAAGGCAGGAGTACAGAAGATGAAGGTCAAGGTGACCCCATCTGCAGACAGGGCCCTGGGGGACCACCTGGAGATGAAGAGCACCCAAAAGCTGTGGCACAGCCACCAGGAAAGTGCGCTGGGCACAGGGAGGACTTCCAAGCACCAGGAAGACCAGCAGAGAGAGCATTTCCTAAAGAAGGTGACAGAAGGAAAATGCAGGGCCCAAGGACAACACCTGGGAAACACAGAGGTCAAGGGCAGTGGGGAAATGAGGGTGAGAAGAACCCTATGGGATCAGGACTCAAGAAGGTAATGGGGGGCGGCAGCATTGTGGCAAAGCGGGCAAAGCCACTGCACACAGTGCCAGCATCCCACATGGGCACCAGTTCAAGTCCCGGCTTCTCCACTTCTAATCCAGCTCCCTGCTAATGTACCTGGAAAAGCAGTGGAAGACAGCCTGAGTGCATGGGCCCCTGCACCCATGTGGGAGACCCAGAAGAATTCCTGGCTCCTGGCTTAAGCTCGGCCCTGCCCATTGCAGCCATTTGGGGGAATGATCAAGGTAATGGAAGACCTCTCTCTCTCTCCCACTCTCTCTCTCTCTCTCTCTCTCTCTCTCTAACTCTGTCTTTTAAATAAATAAGTCTTTAAAAAAGGCAACAGTCGGGGGGTTGTTCTCTGGCAAGAAGAGAAATGGGCATGAATGTGACAAAGGTGTACTGGTCATTTGTGATCTCCAAAGCAAACAGCAGGGGAAGGACTCCATGCAACAAGAAGAGTTGGGTGGGAGCAGGATGAGCAACAGCAAGGCTCCTTGGTCCTGAGCGCTGCTTAATGGGTACCTAGACAGGACCCCATAGGATGAGTATACTACCAGGGGCTTCCCCAGCACTGCCTCACACAGAATTGGCACTCACCCAATTACTACAAAATCATGCCCAGCCCCACACAAGGGACCATCCAACTAGGCCCTGAGACACCCCATCCCTTTCCCAAGGTCACACTGCAAATGAGCAGAGTTGAGGTTCTAACCCAGCCCATCAAGCCCGTTCCAGTCCTAGCGCAGAGTGCATCCCTGGGGAATCATAGCGCCCATTTCACAGACCTGGAAAAGTGACATGGCTTTCACAGGGTTCTTGAGGTTCTTCAGACTCAGAGCCATGAGCTCCGTTGTTCATTTTGTCACACTGCCCACCCATGGTGCCCCAATTTGTAAAGTGTGGAAGAAAACACAGATATCCCAAAACAGCCAATCACTATGGCCAGCGAGTTCAGCACCTTACATGGGCAAGAAAAATCAACTAGGCTTTCCTGGACTCTGCACATACGTCCTTGTGACATGATGGTTCCACTACACAAAGTGAGGAAGATGCGTGTCACTACCATGAAGACAGGCCACGACACACCTGCATCCTCACAGAACACTGACAAACAGAGATGAACCCTGCCTTCCTCCCTCCCAGCAACAGCAGCTCCTGTCTGCTTGTCACTTCATTTACCTACGACAGGCTGGAGGCCCTGATAAGCAATCATTCAAGTAGATCAAGAGACTAAATATTTTCCTTGTTCCTTTCAAGTGCGTAAACATGGTCCACCAAAGGCAAGGCAATTATGTGAAGTTGTCAGCTTATTATGTAATCATCTGTGTGAAGCACTACCTAGAAAAATTTTAAGTATTTCTCTGGATCTTAACATAATATCCAGATGAAGAAATTACCTTAATAACAAAGACTTGGGGCTGGCAGTGTGGCACAGTGAATTAAACCACTGCCTGCAATGCCAACATCCCACAGGAGCATGGTTGTAGTCCTGGCTGCTCCACTTCTGATCCAGCTCTCTGCTAATGCACCAGAAAAACAGTGAAAGATGGCCCAAGTACTTGGATCCCTGCCACACACAAGGGAGACCCAGATGCTTCAGGCTCTTGATTTCTGCCTGGCCTGGCTCTGGACATTGCAGCCATTCAGAGAGTGAATAAGCAGATGGAAGAGCTCTTTCTCTCTTTCTTCCTCTCTCTCTAACTCTGCCTTTCAAATAAATAAAGAAATCTCTTTTTTTAAGGTTTGTTCATTTACTTACTTGAAAATCAGAATTAGAGAGAGAGAGAGAGAGGGAGAAATAGATAGCTTCCACCTGCTTGTTCACTCCCCATATGGCCACAAAAGCCAGGGCTGGGCTGGTATGAAGCCAGAAGACAGGAGCTTCTTAGAGGTCTTCCATGTGGATCCATGGGCCCAAGCACCTCGGGCCATCTTCCCAGGCACATTAGCAGGGAACTAGATTGGAAGTGGAGCAGCTGGGACTCCAATGGATGCCCATATGGGATGGTGGCATTGCAGATGTGCCACTGTGTCACAGTGCAGGCCCCAATAAATAAATCTTTAATAAAAATAATTTTAGAATAGTGATAAATAATTAGAATCTATTGACTATGAACTAGTTGTTATAAAACCTATGGCACACAACATTCCAAACAGATGCAGTGATTAAAAGTGACATTGAGGGGCAGGTTAAGTCTCCACTTACAGTGCTGTAATCCCATACGGGCACCAGTTCAAGTCCTGGCTATTCCACTTCCAATCCAGTTACCTGCTAATAGCCTAGGATAGCAATGGAGGATAGCCCTAGTGCTTGGGCCCCTGAATCCATGTGGGAAATCTGGAGGAAGCTCCTGGCTCCTGGATTTGGATTAACCTAGCTCCAGCTGTTGCAGCCATTTGGGGAATGAACCAGTGGATGAAAGACCTCTCTCTCTGTCTCTTCCACTCTAAATATGCCTCTCAAATAAATAAGCTTTAAAAAATAATAAAAGTGGCATTTATAAAAAAATCTTCATAATATGGAAAAGGCTTATGCTACTTCGAAAATCAGAATACAGATTTATAGAATAAATTTTTAAATTCAATCCAATTTTTAAAACGAATAAACAATACTAAATAGACACATAAAATGTTAAGTGTGCCTGTCTATGCACAGTTAAGATGCAGGATGAGGAATTATTTTTTCCTATCCATTTTTATTTTTCAAGATTTCTAAAAGGAAAATACATAATTTGTATTTGTGAACCACTGGATGGAAGATTGCTCTCTCTTTTTTCTGTCACTCATCCTCTTACATAAATAAACAAACATTTTTTTAAATGCTTCAACTTGAATTTTCAAAAAGCCAAAAAGCTTTTACAAAGAAAACTTGGGGTCTGCTACAATCCTCCATCCGGGTACAGAATCCAGCACCATAAAAAGTCAGAGGTGGACAGAAGCTGCAAGGTGCCTTGGTTTGAATGCCGGGCATTCCTAGACCTGAGATGACCGTGGCAGCAGCGACAGGTATCCTGGACAGTGCAAACTCGGGACACACACAGTCACTGCCATCCCTTCTCCACAGATTAGGAAGCCAAGGCTCAGAGACTCACCCCACGTCGGGGGTCTGCCACTCCTCCCCCACGTGCCCAGATTTCACTGCACTCCCCCCAGCACGCAGACACTGCCTAAGCAGCCATCATCCTGTGAGGAAGACCCTCCCTGACACCACTCAGCGAGATTCCATCTCTTGAAGAGAAACATCAGTCCTCTAACTCCTGGCTGTCACTCTGCCTGGGTTATTAAACCTTCAGAAAAGACAATGTGAAGTCGTTCAGCTCCACACAGACTGCCCGACTTACAGGGAAAGAAAGACAGCAGGATCCCTGTCCCCAGGAGTTCACAACACAGGGAGAGATCAGCTAGCTAAGGGACACTAGGAGCCTAACGAAATGCTCTCATTGAGATCTCAGCCAGGTAATCAAAAGGAGAGGAGGAAGAATCCCCTGACGTCTTACAGCAGGGGAGCTGGGAAAGGAGCAGCCCAGAGCTTCTGCTCAGGCAGGAACAGCACCAACTACATGACCTGCTCCAAGAACCAAAAATGCCCAGTAAGCCAAATACTCACTATGTAGATGAGGAGACTGGAAGCGACCCTGGGCTCCGGACGCTGGATGCGCAGTGTGCAGATGCGTCCCTGGGCACCATGGCGACGGCCATTGGCGAGTGCGCCTGCGCCTGGCGCTGTGACCCGGAAGTGCACCCGCACGCCTGACCCCAACTCCACGGTGCTCAGCTGAGAGTCAGCGCCGAATCCTCTCCTGCCCGAGAACCTGGAAAAGCCAGGAGGAGAGGAGCTGTCCTCGACGCTGCTGGCCAAGCCTGAGCCTGAGGAAGAACCAGCGGCCCCCAGGGTCAGGCGAGGGTGCGGGTTTCGAGGCTATCGCGCCATTTCCAGGCGCGGTTCTCTTCTTCGTCCCCTTCCGGAAGCAACGGCCTTCACGGACCTCAGTGCCGCCAAGCAGACCAGGTGCCCTTGGAGGTGAGTGACGCGTGGCTGTTGCGGTTTCCTTCTGGGGATCTTGGCTGCAGGCGTGCCTGTTGTTCTTGGGTCCCGAAGGTGCGGGTGGAGTCGCGGTTGTGCTGTGCGGATGGACTGGAAGGGTCCCCAGGGTGCGAGCAGCTGTACAAGAGCAGAGTTGGCTCGGTGTCCTCCCGGAATGGCCCTGCATTCCCATCTGTTTGCTCTTTGAGGACCCAGCTACCCTGCTCTAGACCACTGAGAGTGTTGTCGGGAGGAAGGAGAGTTAAAGTGCGTGTCTGTGTCCTGGTTTAGGAGGACAGTTTGAAGGTAAAATTGGGTTTATGGATCCGATGTCTGTATTCTGTATTATATACCTGTAGAGCAATACAGTTTCTCGCGTGAAATGAGTCCTGTCAACATTGAAAACTGTATGGGTGTACCCACTACTGGGAACATATTGAAGGAAATGAAATCATTGTGTAGATAGAGAGGTTTTCACAGGCCTATGCTTATTGCAGTAGGATGCACAAAAGCCAGGCTATGCAGTCTGCAGACGCATGTATGGTGTCCATAGCCCATAATGTCTTTATTCAGTCTTGAGGTGATCGGCATTTTGGCTGATGGCTTATCTTTGCTCTTGTGAATTGAGCTGTAGTAAATATGGGGGCAGAGAGAACTCTTTTTTTGTATGCCGATTCATTTCCCTTGGGTATATACCCTGGGCTGGAATGGCTTGCTCCTATGGTACGTCTATATTCAGATTTCTCATGTATCTCCATTGTATCTTCCACAGTGGTGATTTCAGTTTATATTCCCACCAGCAGTGGATTAGGGTGCCTTTTTCCCCACATCCTCAAGGCCGTTGTCGTATTGATTTGCATTTCCCTGACGCCTAGTGATCCTGAGCATTTCTGCATGTGTTTGTTGGCCATTTAGATTTCCTTTCTAGAAATATGCCTGTTGAAGCTCCTTGCCCATTTCTTGAGTGGGTGTTTGTTTTGCTGTTATTGAGTTTCTTGAAAGTTTTCTGGTAGTTTATCTTTTATCAGTTGCATACTTTTGCATATAATTTTCTCCCATTCCGATAGTTTCCTCTTTACTTTGCTGAGTGTTTCTTTTGCGACAGAGCTTCTCAGTTTGTTTGTTTGTTTGTATGTTTTGGTGTCCTCATCTATTTCTTTGTTTAGTCTTTTGTGATTCTCAGGTATTGAACATCCTTCGTTAAAGTTATCCCAAAGTCCTTTATTTTCTTTGTAGCTATGTGACGGTACTGGTCTTAGAAGTCCTTTCTCAGGCCGGCGCCGCGGCTCACTAGGCTAATCCTCCGCCTAGCGGCGCCGGCACACCGGGTTCTAGGCCTGTAGGGCGCCGGATTCTGTCCCGGTTATGCCCGCTCTTCCAAGGCCCAGCCCTCTGCTGTGGCCAGGGAGTGCAGTGGAGGAGTGGCCCAGGTGCTTGGGCCCTGCACCCTATGGGAGACCAGGAAAAGCACCTGGCTCCTGGCTCCTGCCATCGATCACGCGGTGCGCCGGCCGCAGCGCGCCTAACCGCGGGCGGCCATTGGAGGGTGAAACCAACGGCAAAGGAAGACCTTTCTCATCTGTCGTCCTCTCTCGCTGTCCACTCTGGCCTGTCAAAAAAAAAAAAAAAAAAAAAAAAAGAAGTCCTTTCTCAGCATGACATTGGTCTGTGTATACAAATAGGATGTTGATTTGCTATCTGGCAACTTTTAACCAAACTCTAACTCTGATTTCAGTAGTCCGCTTAAGAGTAGTCTTTTGGATACCCTATATATATCGTGCATGTGACTCAATTGGGGATAGTTGGACATTACTACTCTCAATTTTATCTAATATTGAGAAATGAGAGAAAATATACCAAGCATGATAAGCATGCACATAGAAAATGGCAACAGTGACCTCAGATGCTACCTCTCTGTATTCGATCTTTCTTTCGTTGTGGAAGACTCGATTTGGCCTGTTTCCAACATGATCCATGCTTTAAATGCAGGGCTAGACTGTGCAAGGTGGTGACTGGGAAGTAGACCTGTGTCTGTGGAGAACTCCGTAGATCACAGGGTGTTTCAAGTCCTTGTGTGAGTGGGTACATAAGTGTCTGAAAAAATATATTACTAAGATTACCTCATGCGCAAGTCAGAGATAATACCACACAGAATGTTTGTAAGGAAAAAGAGCATGAATGGGCACCAAATTTTTTCTTCTAAGACCAAGTTAAACTTTTTTCAATTCTGTGTTAATAGGTTAGGTAATGCATACAAATCAATTCTAAATAAACTCTTGTAAATGCCCTTGATGTATTATTTTATTTATTCTTATGTTTTCCTTTTGAATAAAAAAATGCCTTTTTTAAAAGATATTTTTTATTTATTTGAAATTAGGATTTACACACACAGAGAGAGAGAGAGAGAGAGAGGAGAGAGAGAGAGAGAGAGTGAGAGAGAGAGGTCTGCCATCTGCTGGTCCATGCTGCAGTTGGCTGCAAGGGACAGAGCTTATTGTATCCTGAGGCGGGACCCAGGGGTTGGGGGCCCTGAAAAGCATTTATAGGTCAATTTTTCACTGACTAATTTTTGCTCACTGTTTCCTATGATTTGTTATTTGTCTTTGTGAACCCCCCCACCTCCCTGTGACCTGATAATCTTGGAATTCATTTTGGAAATGAAAGGCGGGTCAACCTCTCTGGGTTCTACTTTGGTGAATGCCACAGGCAATCACTTTTTCACAGTGGGGCTTTTGCTCCATACACGTTATTCTCATTTTCACATGCAGAAGTTGGGGCTCAGAGAGGCTGAGTGACTTGCCCCTGGTGACACAGCATGATGCTGCCTGTGTTGCGTAATTGGGGAGTGAGTCCTTGTGAGCAGAGAATGAGAGTATATATTCTTCTTTTGTGCTTAGATAGTTAAAAAAGATACCTTCAGCCGGCGCCGTGGCTCAATAGGCTAATCCTCGCCTTGCGGCGCCGGCACACGGGTTCTAGTCCGGTTGGGGCGCCGGATTCTGTCCCGGTTGCCTTCCAGGCCAGCTCTCTGCTATGGCCAGGGAGTGCAGTGGAGGATGGCCCAGGCTTGGGCCTGCACCCCATGGGAGACCAGGAAAAGCACCTGGATCCTGGCTCCTGCCATCGGATCAGCGCGGTGCGCCGGCTGCAGCGGCGGCCATTGGAGGGTGATCCAACGGCAAAGGAAGACCTTTCTCTCTGTCTCTCTCTCACTGTCCACTCTGCCTGTCAAAAAAAAAAAAAAAAAAAAAAAAAAAGATACCTTCAATGTATTCCAATTTAGCATGATATCTACTGTGGTATGTCAAGACTTGTTTAGCATTTATTATATGATCTATGATCTCTCATGCTTAATTTCTTTGAGATTGGATAATGAATGGGTAGAATACTATCAGATGCTTTTTCTGCATCCATTGAAATGATTATAAAAGATTTTCATTTTTTCATTTTATTGTGATGCATTACACTTACTGAATTAATATGTTGATAATCTTTGCATTACTTGGAAAAATTTTCCATGATCATGGTGGATGAGAATTTAATGCTGTTGTACTCATTTGCTAATATTTGTTTAGATTTCTGCACGTTGGTTTATAGTTTCTTTGTGGTGGTTGTTTCCCTATCTGGTTTTGGTATTAGGGTAACATTCCCTCTTCAGATGGATTTAGGGGATTCTTGCTTTTGGAAAAGTTTGAGAAGATGATTCACTAAATTTTAGTGGAATTCAGCAGCAAAACCATCTAGTCCTAGGTTTTTATTCATTGAGAAATTTCATTACTGATTCAATTTATTACTAGTCATTGGTGCACTCCAGTATTCCATTGTTCATGGTACAATTTTGATATATGTATAATATATGTTATATACATATGTATATATATCAACATTATATATGTATATATAATATATATATTATATATAATATATATAAATAAATGTATTATTTATCTTAGGTTTTCCATGTTCTATAGTTATTTATGGTAGTTCCTAGTAATCCTTTGTTTTCTGTGGTATCAGTTTTACGAGATACTTTTGTATCTCTGATATTATTTTTTGCATCTTTTTTTTTCAGAGAGGGGTTTATTTTAGCACAGTCTGGGGGTCTGTGGAAAAAACCGAACAGAAGAGCACTCCTTGTGTCTCTTCCCTCTGTGCCAGCATCAGTCAGTGAGGCAGTCCGGGGTCACAAGGTGCCCTGGCACTGGGCGTTCTGTGGGCCCGGACAGAAACCATGCGTGGCCACCCTGTGGCACATGCTGCAGTCGCCTCGGCCCTCAGCCCTCGGCCCGCTGCCCCACCCCTTGGCCTCAGAGTTGCTGCCTCTGGGGATGGCAGGCAGCCGGAAGCCCCCGGAGCCATAGGCATTCATGGGGCTGAGCTGTTAACACTCAGGGAGGCCAGGAGACCCCCAGGCTTCAGGAAGACTGGGCATCAACAGCCCACTCCCAGCTGGAGTCTCCAGGGCAGAGAGGTCACGAGGAGAGGGTCAGGGGAGCCTCACTGCTCCGGGTTTCCAGGACCACCCTGGATCAGGCCCTCCACTGTGGTGAACATAGGAGAGCTGGCCACTGGTCAGCCATGAGTGGGCGTG